TTGGACAAATGGGATCGGGTGGAGCGATCCGATACCGATACCTGGTATTGGGTCCATTTTCGATCCGATCCCCGATAAATACCAATCCGGGGATCGGATTGCTTACAGTTTGGATGATACCCAAGTGTAAGGCATACAGCCCGCAGCTTTTGGGTGCCTGATCGGGATTGCAATGCGATCCCGATCCCGATCCGATACCATGGGATCGGATCACCCTTAGCGATCTGATCCCTTATTTTTCGATACCTGGTATCGAAAAATCGATCCGATCCGATAAATCGGCTGATACCGTATCGGATCGGATCTGTTTCACCGTTGGCCTGACCATCTTGGTTCAGCAAAATCCAAAGTGTATCACCATCCAATGGAGCACCTGAGCCTAACAACAGGGCCTTGCAAGTGAGAGCTCACAAGGATCTCTTTCTCACTCCTGGCCTTCAAGATTTGTACAATCTCAAAGGTTGGGAGGATTCCTCCTAATTGTTGAGACTGTACATACTGTCTTGATGACCAGGAGGTTTCATCCTTGCCTTTGAGAGTTGTACAAGGTGTGTAGGCCAACACACCATTTTTTTTTGGGAAGGTTGTACTGCATGCCCCTGTGCGTGTGGACATCAGCACGCATAGGGGAATGAAGCAAAACCCGCCCAAAACAAGGGCACATTTTACTTCCTGCTCCTCCAATAGGGGTGGGGGAATGGGAGGGAGTGTGATTATCATTGCACAGGGTTTCAATCTCTGGGAAAAATGATGACCATGCCTCCAGACCACAACCCAAGGTTGGGCCAACCACAGGTTACCTGAATCCATAATCTCAGGGCATCCAAGTTGCCTGAGATAATTATCTCATGCAGCTGGGTAGATGAGGGCCAACCACTCCCCTTCAGGTACATATGTGTCAAATTGCTGACCCTTCTGACCCCTTAGCTCCAAATCTGAAAATTTGATGTCAGCCTGCAACAAGCTTTAGGAGGGTTGGGGGAGGTTGGTTTTCCGGGCAAACTCTTTGTGGGGATGTGTTCAACCTTTTCTGGTGGTGTAAAGGTTCTGAGAGGCACATGTCATAAATATCATCAAATTTTGTTTCAGATCTCAGACTGAGGCATGTAATGACAAAATATACTTCTTTTCCTATCTCAACAAAGCCACTCAAACAGAAAATCTGTGGGACCCTGCACAGAGTTCTCTCTGCACCGTTGGAGAGGATTATGTATTATCACCCAAATTTGGCAGGAGCAGAAGAGATCTTCAGACAAACAACACAAGCCATTTTTGAAAATAACCACACATCAATGATAAAAAATGAATAGACAGTCTTGTAGGAACTCACATTGCACAATTTCTGGTGCCCGGGGGTGCCTTTTATCTTGAAGACTATGACTTTCAATGATAAAAGTATTCAAATTTGCTGATTGAGTTCATTGAAGGAGATTTCAAACTATGGATTGGGTTTGGCAAATCCATTTCTACATTTGAAATTTTACTATTTGCATGGATTTTCTGGGCATCTTTGTAGACCCCCACTCAAAAGTAGTCTCAGGATATCGTACAATAAGCTTGAAGATTCATGGATTTTCAAAGAATGTAGCTTTGTGAATCCTTGCATGGATCCTGGTGAATCCTTTTTTAAAGTTTCTTGTTTTTCTGAATCTTTGAACAATTATTAAAAATCAATCAAGAGTAATTCTGAAATGACCAGAATGAAGGGAAAATGCTTGATATTTGTAGAACGGTTAGGCAGAACTTGGGGACCACTGGTGGTGGAGCTATTAAAAAATTAAGAAAGCTCCCAGCTAAAGTGCACTTTGTTCTCCTGCTTAAAAATTGACTTTATCCACAAGTCCCTCCCTGAGCGGCAGTGCTACTCAGAGAGCCTCCCGCCAGGGGGGACTTGTGTTGAGTTAGCTTCTTCTCCTTTTGAGTGCGCAAATCCATCACAGGTTTTGAGCTCCTGACCCTATCCACATCTGTTCAATCAATTTTAGTACCAGTTCTACTGTGCAGGGACCATTTGGATATTACTCCATCTAGCTTTGGTAGTCTATTCTGTACAGTCTGAAGGTTGGAGGACTTCTGTTTGGCTGTGCAAGCATATTGATTCTTAAATTCCATGCGGCAGCTCAATTTTCAGGAGAAAATATTCCTGTTCGTGTGTTTATGAGGTCTTTCCATTTTAAGAACAAATCAGGGAAGTGTCTCCTGACACGGGAAACCAAGCATATCTTTTTCTGAGTGATTTGGTACATGACTATATACAATTCTTGTATTGATTCATTTCTTAGTGAGAAAGAAATTTGAAAAGCGAGCAAGACTATCATATCTAAATATTCAAGATCTTCAGGAAATGAAAGTGGACTCCCAATCGAGAGAGAAAGTTAGAGAAAGATGGAGAGAGATTACAGATCAACAATATGAAAGATTCGGATAACCAATCATCCTTTTTCCCAAAAATAGTGAAAAGCCTCTCAAAAAGCTGGCTGAAGTTCAGCAAACGCGCGTAGCCGAGCCTTCGTTGAAGCTCCCACTTTTTGGGCGGAGGGCTGAGTCACAAGAACGAATGAAGCCACACTTGGAGGAAACATCCTTGTGTAAGGATTGCGTTTCAATCCTTCACTGTCTGTCGGGATAGGCACTAGAGAGGAGCTCAGTAGCTCCGGATGGGAAGTTTCTAGTACCAACGTGGATTTATTGCATGTCTAGACAGGAGAGAAAGATCTCTCATTAGTATATACAAGTGAAGGGAAATGAGAAAAGGAAATTGGAAGAGAAGGAAGGAAGAAAGGGTACTCACCTAGACAGGAGAGAAAGATCTCTGCTGTCCAGGTGAAGGGGAAGTGTGGGACTAAATACAAGGTCGAACTGAGCTTATGTAATCTTGTGACATCTTTGTGTAAGCCTGTGAGGAGCAGGGCTTACAGTCTCCCCTCCTATAAAAGAAAATGAAGAAGGGAGAAATTTTAACAATAACCAGGACAGTAAAAATTGAGAAAAGAAAAAAATAGAAAGTGGTCTGGAATTGTGGAGAAAAATTTGAGAGTGGTGGCTGATTTGAGGAGGAAACTTAGAAGTATGGCAGAGAGGAAAAGAAGAGTGAGATGGTCGGAGAGAAAAACAAATAAAAGTAAGATAAACCAGAGAAAATTGAAGGAGGGGTTGGTTGGAACAGAAAATATGAAGTTGATTTTCTCATAAGAAAATATGAAGTTGATTTTCTCATAGTGCTGAGGATGGAGAAAGGGAGTTTCTGATCACCAGTCTTCAAATGGTACAAACTCTGAATCTTCAATTGGGCGGTAGCGGGGGTCATTTTGTCTTTCCAGGGCGGCCACGGCATTTTCATCCATCACAGTGAGGGATCCTACAGCAGCGGTTGGTAGGAAAAGAGGTGGTGATGGCAAGGAGGAGTTGGATCCAGAATTTTTGGTCTTCTTCTTCTTCTTTTTCTTTTTCTTAATCTCATTCACACCAGAAGTCTCAAGGTAATTGTCAATGTCCTTGTAGTATTCTAGAGTTGAAGATGAATATTCTGGAGCAATTTGGGTGTCCATAGAAACACTTTCTTCATTCTCAAAAGCTAGGGGTCCTACTTCAGTTGCCTCCAAGCCTTCTGTACAGGCTTGCATAGTTGGTTGGATTGGTGATGAGCAGTTGTTTGTTAGATCAGTTTTTGGGTTCAGGGGGGAAGGCAAGGTTGGACCAGTTATTTTATCGGTATTAGAGATGGTAGTGGTAGCGAGCTGATGGTTGTTGGAGTTTGAAGAAGTAGGAGTTGCGGTGGAAGGCATGAGGTCTGGGCTAGAATCAATCAGAGACGATGGGGTGGGTGCAACAATGTTGATTGGATGATAGATCTGGGTGGCCCCTCGGGATGAAGGTTCAATGATTGGTTTGTTAGAGTCAGGGGTGTCCAAGGTAGCAGCTTGTGTAAGAGGATCAAGCAAGGATGAGGTCAAAGTTGGATCTTCAGTTGTCACAATGATCTCACTAGAGGAGACTACATCAATAGAAGAACTAGCTGGGGGTTCAGCAACGATTGCGATAACAGAAGACGGAGATCGGGTGACGGAAGCGTATTCCGCTTTGGGAACCTTGGCGTAAGCATCGAGTGGAAATCGGTCTAACGAGCGGGATCGGGAGGGGGAGCTGTTTTCCTGCAGTACAGAGGGGGGTCCAGCGGCGAGTCTTAGGCTTGAGAGGCCTGTGACGGTGATGGGCAATGGCGATGTATTCCCGGCCGTCTCGGTGCTTAGTGGTAGAGCCGGTGGAGGGAGGACGGACGAACGGTCCGATTGGCTAGAGATCAGAGGTGACGGGGGTCGCGAGGCGGGGTTGGATGAGAGGGGGTTTTGGATAGTTGGCTTGTTTGCCGGATCAGAGGTGGGAAAGCTCTCGGCAGGGTTAGTACTATCGGAAACGCCCACGATCGTTGGGGGAGTAGGGTTCGATAAGGAAGTAGAGGGTGTTGGGCTTGTCGGCGAACCTTTTGGCAGTGAAGTTGGTGACGAGGACCTGGTTGAGTCCGGACATGAACTTGGGGGTGATTGATGGTCGGTAGTTGACCGAGGCAGTGGAGCTGAGGCTCTTCCGTCTTGCTGATTGTCTAGGCCGCCAGTTGTTAGTTGAGCAACATTGCGGTCTCATCGGGACACGATCGGCTGCAGGCCTCGCTTGATTGGATTATCGAAACGATCCAGTTACAGGAGCCGGATGCTGTCTGTTAGGCAACAGATGACACACCACCTCTTCCAGATTTCGGATGCGTCTTCCATAGTTACTATCAGCCGGGTTGGAAAGTCCCCTAAACATTATTTGATCGTTCCGAATGAGAAGATCAAGGGTAGCAATACAGTAGTCGAGCAATAGGGTGCCTTGAGAATTGAAGCAGAGGAGATCAGGCAGGTTTGAGACCAAGACCGTAAGAAAGGAAGGAGAATTCGATGAAAAGATCCGAGAATTGAAGGTTGTCCGTTTGTAGTCTGCAGATGGCTAGTAACAGAGAAGTCAATGAGTTGATTTGGAGTGAGTCGGAGTTGGAAGTTGGATAAGGCACAATAATGAATTTTTGAAAAAATTCTGCCAGTCTTGTTCTTGGAACTAGAAAAAAAAAGTGTAAGGATTGCGTTTCAATCCTTCACTGTCTGTCGGGATAGGCACTAGAGAGGAGCTCAGTAGCTCCGGATGGGAAGTTTCTAGTACCAACGTGGATTTATTGCATGTCTAGACAGGAGAGAAAGATCTCTCATTAGTATATACAAGTGAAGGGAAATGAGAAAAGGAAATTGGAAGAGAAGGAAGGAAGAAAGGGTACTCACCTAGACAGGAGAGAAAGATCTCTGCTGTCCAGGTGAAGGGGAAGTGTGGGACTAAATACAAGGTCGAACTGAGCTTATGTAATCTTGTGACATCTTTGTGTAAGCCTGTGAGGAGCAGGGCTTACACCTTGGCGTGCTAGAAAAAGGAAGCCAACAGGGGATGATTAGTGCGAAGGATTTGAGCGACTTGTGATGACAAAGGGAGAGAACAATTGGTGAACTCACAGCGGCCAGGAATCTCTCGAGTTTCTCGCGATCTTTGCCGTTCCGACGGTAGAGCTCCTCGAGCGGGAGAGCGGCGTCACGAAACTTGGCATAACTCTGGGGGCTCAGGAGCGCCGCGTTGAGCCTCGAGCTCAACGGTAAGGGAAGCGCAGACGTCGGCGTTTCGACCGTCTTTGGCTTCTTTTTCACCTCCGCGCTAAGGTCCAATGGGGCCACTTTCGGACGCGAAGGCGGGAGCTTCTTCGGCTCGGTCGAATCTGGCCCGTCGGAGAACCTCTGCAGTACTTTTTAAACAAAATATTCAAGTACATGGAAGGTCAACCAATCACTGGATAACGCGAAGAGCAAAAATTGGAATTTATCATACCTTCAATTAAACCATTGAGCCCTCCACCTTCCATCGGAGCTATGGTTCCAGGGGGACGTTTTCCCGCGTACGATGCCACCCCTTCGTCCTTTATTTCGATGGAGTATTCAATCAGTTGGGGATCACCAGACTTTTGAGCCAAGTTATCGGACGGCAAATCAGCAGTTGCTTCCAAGGAGCCAGAGCTCTTCTCTTTATCCAAGAATGAGCTATCGGCTTGCTCGGTCTTGGTGAGCTGGCTGGGCTCTTCTGGGAGAAGATTCTTGTCCAAGGAGGGTGACTCTTTTGGAAGGTCTTCTAGTTCGGAAGTGTCTCGGGCTTGCTCGCGAAGAAACTCGATCACTTTAGGTAGAAAGTGGGAGACAAAGAAATTAAAAAGGTCCCACAGATTAGTTATCATCTTCCATACTTTTTTCATCGTGTTCGCAAAAGAAATTTAGATCATGACTCACTCGAGAATAACTCTTGGATCGGGGTCTTGTGTACGATCTCCTCCCAGCCAGGCGATTTAGCCTCAGCTTTGCTGTCCTCATTGAAGAATTTGAGGCGCTCATAAGTTGCTATGAACATTGCACAAGTACGAGTCATTATCCTTCCATCATCGAGCACAAGAGAAAATGGAATATGAGAATTACACATACCGGTCTGAACCTCTTCGATTTCAAAACAGTCAATGTTCTCATTGACTATTCGCGAAATAATGCTAACCATATCGTGGTCGGTATACACAAAATTCTCGTCAAGCTCTTCGCCCTTGAACATTCTTATCACTGTACAATTTTCCATCCCTGGATTGTAAGCTCGAATGCGTTTTTTGTTCAAGGAAAAGTGGAAGAAACGGTAGCTAGCTAAGTTACTTACAACACGGTTTCTTATCAGAACCGTCAGCATCCTTCTTATCCTCATCCTTGGGCACAAACGTTTCATCTACGTATCAGAAATATTACCCAATCAGCATGATAAAAAAATCGTCCCCACTCAATATTTTTCTATCTAGAATATAATAAGAAGGTTTTTGCTTACCGCTTTCTATGATCGTCTTGATAATACGTTGAGCGTCGTCTTGATCATCATTCAGGACGCAACCTTTCCCAAAAACTCTGGAAGGTTCGGCTTCTTCCTCTTGTGTCTGAGCATCCTTGACATCGTTTTTCTCGTCATCTAAACAAAGGGATAGCAAGCCAGTTACATAACGTCAGCTGTTTGCACACATATTCTGTGCGAAATAAGTAAGCTCTAGGGTGGATGAATGTTTCGAAAAGGGACGGTGAATTCAATTATCAAATTCGAAAGGATGTCCTGAAGCAGCAAGTATAGGAAGGGGTTCTAAGAAGCAGGCCAGACAAAATGAAGCGTTTAAGTACCTTTGTGACTAGCAGAATTTATGTTCGTGTTTTCAATCAATGAAGAGAGTCTATCAATTCTATCAACGATGTCTCGAGTGGAGATACCAGTCATGTTGAAAACTCAATGATACGTGTTATCAAAGTGGCGGATATGTACTAGAGTGCTCTTTATTTTTGAGCCTAAGGGATGGATGGATCTAGAGAAACGAACAAATGGAGGACTTTCGAGCCCGTTTTAATACTCCCTACAAGGCGATATCGACAAACAACTCCACGGGTTGAGGAGTTCGCGTTGGGCCGCCGACAAAGGGTTTCCAATAAGCACTGGCCAGACAACGAACTTCGGCGCACCACAAAAGTATCCAAACGCTTAGAATGCCCTCATGCTCCTATTAACCGGCTTGTTTGGGCTGTCAACATTACCGTACACAGGCCGCTTCCCTCTACGCTCAGTTCGTCACCCTTGATGCGGAGGAATAATAGAATGTAGGACAATGGCAATTTTGTCTTTTGATCACATTGCAGCTTCGCATGTCTTACTGGAACATTCTGACTTGACATCAGTGGAAATAAACATATTTAGAAGCTTTCGGTGGTGCCAAGTTTTATGCTGCAAGCAAGAAGACCAGTGACCGCGGCGCACCACGACTGAAAGTAAGATTACGTCGACACAAATATAGTTGATCGGAACATTGTATTATCGTCATTCGAGGACGAAATGGAACAGATGTGAACAGTTCCTTTGAGAACAAAGGAACGACGGGGTCCATCAATAACTACGATGTGGGCATTGTGACTAGTTTGAGCGGCTAAGCGGAAGAAAGACAAGGGCCGATCGAAGCCTGACTATTAGCTCATCGTCCCTGGAACCTGCTACGCACGCTCCATGATTCCTTCATCCTTGGGACAGTGGGTTACGGCTTTAGAATGCCGCTCGAGGCGAGACTTACCGGCCTTTGTTACGTAGTTTAGCTTTGGATTTCCTTTGGTTCCAACAATAACAGTTTTCTAAATCAACAAGATGATCTGGTAAATATTCAATTGAAGGGTATCCACGCGCGGCAAGATACGCATCGAATCCAGAGCCTCCAGGCCTCGGGAGCAATATGTACCACATCACATGGGGCGTGCTGCGTTCCTTAATGAAACGTACAACTCACCCGTTGGATGTCTTGAACTTTATATTGCTCTGTGGCATCGCGGGTCTTCACCCCCTTCGAAGCTGCAAGTTGAGATCCCTTTTTCCAAAGGTAATAGGAGTCAACATACACTTTGTTATGGCCGACCGTTGATTTGCATAGCTTTACCCGGACCTCATCGATATGTGTGAAGGCGGAGCGAATTGTATGTAACCAGTCACATGTTGGTTGACACAGTTGACATTGCTTTGCGGTTTTTTACCCATCTGTTCATCGAGCCATTGGACTGGCTAAAATAGCGTAAACAAAGCCTCTTCTAACGGAGGGCGCCAAAGTGTCAGAGGGGGATTCACCCATTTATTTCTAATCAGAGTACATATTTATGATGAGCCTAAAAACTGCCATGTCTCAAGGAATGGTACATGCACATCATTGTCTTTTTTACCCTTGTACAGTCCAGTGTCCCAGCTTGTTTTGTAACTATGCCTGCCTCATACTTATTATTTCATCATTAGGGTTCTAATGTCCTCAAAGAAAAAAAAAAACCATCCTAAATACTGCCACGGCACATGGGTGGACAACCTGGATGGTGTCATCCTTACTCAGTGCCAGATTGGCAAGGTTAACCCTGCATGACCATTGGCAGATGCGTGGCTGACACTGACCCTGTTGGATACAAGAGTGGGATTGGAAAAACAACAATCTTGGGGATAATCACTCACTCAGCAGCTCATCAATAAAATTAATTTTCTTATCATTTCTTGGTCTGTTGAAAGATCTGCTTAATCTTCCTCATCAGCCTGCTGAACCCCTGTGAGGCGGTGACCAAAAAAACTAAATCAGAGCTCCAAAAGTCCTGGAGCCTCAAAACCCACAAAACAGGGCACATTCAAACTCCTAAAACCTACATTTGAACTACTGAACCATGTTGCCTGGCATCATCCCCCAAACACTCCCCCCATTCCCTCTTTCATCAACCTGCACCTTGCAAGCAGGACAAGAAAAAGAAAGTGTTTGGTTTGATCTACTTTGAATTTGTCTTTGAGATTTTATTTGATCATTTTTTATATTGATATCAATCAATAAAGGTCATCATGTGAACAACAAAAACACAGATATATATATAAATAAGTAGAAATTTCACAAAAAAAAACATGGATGAAACAGACCCAAACATCACACAAAAATAAATAAACAAATTCTAAAAAAAAAAAAAAAAGAAAAGACGGACAGAGACAGACATTTCAAAAAAACACAAAGACATTTCTTTTTTGAAAAAAAATGTTATATAAACAGATACCACTTTCCCTCCTCACCAAAAACAAAAAAGAAAACTATTCAAGAACAAAAAAAGAAACCATGAAAACCAAAAAAGGGGAAAAAGATTAAAGTTTAAGAGAGTCAAACAAGATCCGATCAATAGTAGCCTCCAAGTTCTGAAAGCTATTTGAGTTTTCTTTAAAGAAGTTAAGAATATCGGAATGAACCAGAAGATTATTATTATGACTATTATGAATTAAGGAAGAAGACGAATGAGAAGAGTCACGATGAGATGTTTCTTGATTAAAGGAGGAGGAGGAAGAGGATTCTTGATGAGAGGCGGCATGTTGATTAGGATCAAGGTTAGAAGGAAGCCCGCCGGGAAGATGGTCGGCAGAGGAGAGGAGCGGAGGATGAGAGAGAAGATCAGACGAGGCGACCAAGGGTTTATCGATTCGTAGAGGAAAAGAAGCCGTCGAAGAGGAAGAGTGTTCATTAAAGAGACCAGCGATCGCCGGATCATCGTTCCATAGGCAACCCATTGAAGATTTGAAAGGTTGTCGATTGAGAGTCGGTTTCGGATTGGAAGGATTGGATGTGGAAGTAGACGAGGAAGAAGGAGAAGAGGAAGAAGACGAAGGCGTGTTGGCCGTAGAAGAAGCAGAGGAAGAAGCGGAGAGGAGGATGAGATTCATGAGCACGTCCAAGCTAGCGACCGAACTATCCATGTTCTCAGATCCTTCGGTCCCCGAAGCAGTGGAGGAGTTGAGGGAAGGGAAGAGGAGAGGCAACCACGCCCGATGGGCGGGCGGGATTCCCTGGCCGAGCGAAGAGGGCTGACCCCGCAGCTCGAGCTGGCCCTGTTCGCGGTTCATCGAGAGCCGCGAGTCGATCCCTCGGCCGCGAGTGGCCGAGGAGATCGGCGTGTAATTCGACGACTCGCCGGTGGGTGAGGTGGCCGTCAAGGGAGTCACTGGACTGATACTGCCATCCTCGTTGGTCGAGTTCGATCGGCTCGAATTCACCGAGCCGCGCAGAGTCTCTTCAGGCCCGTCTTTCTGTAAACTCCTTGTCGGCCCATTCGGACTGGATTCTACTTGGACAACTGACGAGTCCACAGCCGGATCCATCATCGTTCGGCCAACCGATGAAGACCCGTTGGTCAAAGGCTTCACTTTCGAAAGCAGTCGCTGGATACGATGGTCAAGCGACTCGGCAAAGAATGGAGAAGATTTAGCTTTCTGAGAAGATTCAGAAGGTCGATCTGATTGTTGGTTCATCGAGGGGGCTTGTTTCCTGACTGTCCATGCGAGAAGATCCTCAGAGGAGACCCGATCGCGTGAGCCATAGAGCGAAGAAGATGAAGCCAGTCGGAGGTCCTGGTCGATGGTCAGGTCAGCCGCCCGTAAGGCTTCGATGGCCGAGTCGTCGTCCGTCTCGTGGTTCTGGAGCTGACGCACGACCGAGGGGCTAAGACGGTTGACGGTGGAGAGAGGCGACTCAGGGGCGCTGGCGTAGCCATCCTCAGTCGACGGACTGATAGTCCTCGTGGCAGCGGTCTTGTCTTGGGATTCGTGCTTTCGATGATGTTTGTCATGTGCATGCTTGGAAATTTCACCGCCCTGTTCACTGCTCAATTCACTTTCTATCAGCGAGCTGATATCGAACTCTTCCCCATTGGGATCGATGTACGAGTACCGATAACTTTGGTGTTGGGGACCATCATCCCGTCGACTGCGAATCATCGCATTGTTGTGCAGGTTGATATCAATTCCTTCTTCCGAATTGCGCTGGGTGGAACGGACAGTAATTGGGTTGGGAGAAGCGACAGGAGGAGTGTTAACTACACCTTCCTCGACTGAGTGAATTGATTCCCGAGCAGTTTTGAATGAGCTTTCAGTCGAGGGCGCAGGGCGAGAGGGGCCGGTTGACGAGTTCTTCTTAGCTTGAAGTAGACCCAGTTCATCAGCAACCGCACCCGCCAGTCCGTTCTGTCCAGCCGACTGGCGCGGATAATCTCGCCGAGGCGGATGATGGATCATGGCACGTCTAAGACTGAAGATCGGGTCAGATGGTTGAAGGTCTTGAAGAGTACCCAAGACAAACGGATGATACTCTTGTGACCTCCTTCTGACCTCCTTTGAGGTTCGATCAGCTGGTCTGAATATGGGTGGAACGCTATAAGCATCTAACACCTTCGAGATCAGATTAACCGGCACTTCTGTAAAAAGTGAAAAAAAAAACAATTCAGCTTGCAAATCGATTTAAATATAACTTTAGCACGTACCAGTTGGAGAGTCGGGAGATTTCATAGATAAGCCATAGCGGATCTTGGAAGAATTCCTGCGCTTGGAGAGTTTATCATCGACGTCATCGCCGCCATCTACGACGCCATCTGCGATCCCAAAGGCCTCAAGGGTATGTTCGATAGCTTCAGAGACATGAATGTTACGTGGGAAGATGATCACTTTTTCCCGGAACGAGGTAGATGAAGCAGATGCAGATGGATTAGTGGGAGGCGTTGCACGTTGACCACGTTCAATGAGGACGGTCTTCGGAATGATCGCGTTCGATTGGGGATCAAATACTAGTCCTTCGGGCAGATCGCTGGAATGAATCCGGACTCGCATCGCAAACCTCAACGAAGGCGAAGAGGTGATCGTCGTCGCTGAGGGTGGAGAGGAGGCGTTAGGAGATAGAGGGAGCTGTTCTGAATACATTGAATCTGTCGAGCCTGAATTAGAGACGGTGTTCATCGGCTTTTGCGGGTCGTATTGGGTCGAGGAAGATGGACCTGCGGAAGTGTTGGTTATTGCAATTGGGCTAACTCCTGGATGGCCAGAGATCGTGCCATCCTCTTGTATGGGCGCCAACGAGCCAGAACGCTCAGGCTTTCGACTGGACGGAATCCCGTTGGGGGCAAAGTTACCATTGGAATGATGAGGATGTGAGTAGCGGTTGAGGTGAAACTTGACGGCCGAGTCATCACTAAAATCATTCATTCCTAGCCGGGATATGGCAGGGTTGAGTGAAAGATTTGAGTTGATTGATGAGATGGAGCCGACTGATGATCGTTTGACTGAAGGTAAATAGAGGGCATGTTGACCTAAAGATTCATTCATCAACTCGAACAATTTCAGGGGTGTCTGTTGATCATCCAAGACAGTTTCTTCACCACTAACGACGTCCTTGATCGTCAGATAATAACTCGATCGATCTTCTTCCGTGACGAGAACGTGAAACCTTTGGAGGGATTGGGTAATCAACTCCTGAGTGGTAGTCTGGGCACTTAGCAGGACCGTCTTGAAAGTCGCCTCACAATCCACGTTGTCACCAGCAAAGATTCGAAGTACGTTCAACATCGGTACATCCATCCCGGCTATTCCAGGAGAACCAATTAAACTACCTGGACGAACCCTTCCACCTGCAGGCGAGTAAACAAGTCCCATCGAGGCGGTGGAGCTACCGGGGGAAAATGGTGAGTGCAAGCCAAGGCTGGTCGATGGGACATTGGAATTGATTGGAGGATAACTTGGCTTTTTCTGTTGTTGGGAGTGATGAGTAGCATTGGGGTCACTGATCTCCCTGGAGATGCCATACTGACGGTGCATGACCTCTTGAGCTTCCTCTTGTTGCTTCCTAAGAGCGGCGTCAGTTGAAAATAGATCGTCATTTTCGGCAGTCGCCCGATGATTTGGAGTAGTTCCGTTGGGAGATCCTTCCAGTTGAGGAGAACTCAGGGATCGAACGGAATGTTCGGAGGGGCTTAGAGGAGATGAGGATCGGTTGCGATCGTGTTCGAGTGAGGATGATCTCGTCTCATCCGTGGGGTCATTCTTGGACTTCTTATCCTTCTTCCGACCGAAAAAGCCACTCAAAAGGCCGCCGGTTTTCTTCTTCTTAGGATCAGACTCTTCCTTCCTGGTACTGTTTGGTTTGAAACCTTTAGCGTCCTCTGTTGTTCCATTATGAGAGTCAGTTGAATGACCTTCAAGGGAAGCTGATGATGGCTCTCCGTTGATCCGAGCTTGTTGTTTGTTACCGGATTGTCGGAATGGACTCTCGGATGACGATGCCGAAGTAGATCGTGAACGAGCCTAGGTAATTCAATGAAGACATCAGAAAAAAGTGACACCTGAAGATCGAGGTGAGAGTAGAACATACGGGATGAGAGCCACGAGAAGGATTCTGTTGATAAGCATCGAGACCATAATCAGCGGTATCACGCGCAATATCAGGAGTCAGGGTGAGTTTTTTAGTTTCAGTGAGAGCATTGGGGATTAGCTGAAGGGATGATGTAGAGGCGATTTTGTCAATGGAGAGGTTGGATGAATTCTTTGGAGCATTGCTTGCAGCCTGTGTGATATTTCGAGAGGCGGCCAGCTGTTCAGGGATAGATTCCTTGTTGGTTATAGGTGTATCGAGTTGAGCACGTTGGACGGGTGATAAGCCTTTTCCGAGTTGGCTACGCGAGTCATCCTTGTTTGAATTACCTGGCCCACCACGTAGAGAGTCTGCCGACGCCCTGGCAGCCAAGCGAAGCCTGGTCCAACCACTGGGTGACTTGGCAGCTTCTTCTGATTCAGCTGAAGCCTGACGTGATAAGGATTGTTCTGAGGCGACCTGATGTTGGATCTGTTGCTGTAGTTGATACTGACGTTGCTGTTGCTTATGTTCTTGTGCCAGTTGTTCTTCCAGTTGACGTTGGGAGTCGATCGTCGTCGGATTAGATTTCAGAGCCGGGTCTAGGTCTAGGACTGGGGCGCGTTCCGGACGTTGAGGGGCATTGTTGCTCTCGAGATGTTCTTCTTCTTCGTCATCTTCCTCCTCGCTCTCTTCCTCTTCATCTTCAAAGCCTTCTTCGCCCTCCTCAAATTCACCTTCTCCATCCCAATCCCCGTCAGCGACCTCATCCCCATCGATCATCTGTTCGTTCCCACTTTCATCATCCTCCTCATCACTCCATTCGTTCCCACTATTTTCGAAGTATGTCGGTGCTGTGAAGGCTACGGTCTTACCTTTACCAGTCCCAGGTGCTGGTGCGACGGGTGGTGGTGAGAAGTATCCAGGTCCGATCATGGGTGGTGGGCCGGGACCTTTGCGACGATCTTGTGGGGATCTCGAGCGCACAGGATCGCCAGCGCTCGGGATTCTTTGAGAGAATCGAGTCTGGGCCAGTGATGAGGCGGCACCTGCTTGGACATCGATAGGGGTGGCCGAGGAGAGCTAAACAGACAGCGGAAGGGGAGGTTGAGTTGTGAATGCGTTGGCTGTGAATCAGACCAGGGTGACTCACGTCGACATTCCTATGTTTGTTGAGTCGTGCGAGTCGTTCGAATGGAGTTTCAATATTTTCAGCAGGGATATAACCGACGGCTTGAGTTTTGAGCACGCGAATCAGCCACCAATAAGAGTTTGAGTCGTCTAGTAATGTGAGTCTGTCGCCTTTGACGACAGACTGAGAGTATGTTGGATCAGTTTCTATGCAATTTCTCCTGTCTTCGTGTCTTTTGTTTTTCTCTCTTTTTGGAGCTAGCTTACCGCTTGACCGTCTACGGTGGCCAGGAAGGTGTGCAGTGCGTAGACGAGCGTGAAGTCAATGTCGTCTGAGCATGGTATGCTAGGTGTTGATGAGAGTGAGACTGAGTCACTGAAGCTGGAGTCACTAGCCCGATCTGCTTCGTCGTCCTGAGTGCTCTCGTTGTGTGCTTGTTGGTTGTTGTGGTGGTTTAGTTGTTGTTGGTGTTGGTCCATGTAGAGGTCATCATCATCATCGTCTTCTTCCTCATCTAGATCTTCATCTTCTTCATCTTCATCCTCTTCTTCTTCATCATCTTCTGATGCTATCCTGTGATGCTGTTGTTCTTTCAGTTGTTGCTGTTGCTGTTGCTTGATTGAGCTCGTCATGATGGTTGGTTGGTGGGTGGGTTGTTTGGTGGTGGTCGTGGTGGTTGGTGGTCGAAGTGGTTCTCCTGTTGACCGTTCCTACTATTGAGTCTACTCAACTGGGATTGGTTTAGTACTCAATAAAATCCAATTTAATCCAAGTCAGAAACAATCTTACATAATCCAGTTCAAACTTAAGCTCACACCCTAAAAGATCACACTCCATTTCATCACGCTCACATCTGTCTCACCGAATGCGAAGACCACCGATCATATGCATCGTATTTACAGCCACAACCTCATATTGCTATACTCATGTACAACATACTCGAGGTCTGGACCCTCTAATCTGCAAGCACTTCATCACATGCAATCTGTTTACAGGAAGTGAAGTTGAGACTGATGGCCCCAAAATTCACCTAGCACCACAGAAATCTGAACAACTCTGGTGAGAACCAATCCTACTGATATGTAATTATCACTCACTATGTGGTGATAATTTGTGATGATATGAAATTGAACTTGATGATGAGTTGGTCTGGGAAAAAAAAAAATGTACAGACAGAATATAGAAAGTGAATGGAGGACTTCCTGTCAATATCCGCCAGTCCCTCAATTTTGATTTAGAGATTTCCCTGCAAAAATTGAGACTTTTTGTGCCTAAATTTAAAACTGGGAGGGCCCCAGATCCAATGGGTGGCTGTCCAATAAGAAGATGTTGGAGTCTTTTTTGTTTTGATATTTGAATAAGACTATAGAATCTGTAGAGTGTAATTATCAATCTGATCAGGACTGCTGATCATGATTTGTCTCAAGGTAGACAAAGAAAAAAAAAACATTGATAATCAAAGAATTATAGATGTCAAACTGAACCCTAATAAGTACATACATGCATTTATGGTGTTCAAAAGTTCAGTATGCAAGCATTTATGCATGCACATTTCATATATACATTAATTTGTTTGCAGAGAAACTGGACAACCTGATTATATAATCTGTGTAAGAATAAGAGAACAGCACATCAGTGGGAAAGCTCTGGCAACCTGGAAGCAGCTGCAGAGATATGTATATATACAGTCTTGTGGTCCCAGTCCTGATTTGTAAACTGAATACATGTTTGATGTTTTTACAGCAAATAATAATAGAGAATCAGAAATCCTGATGGGAAAGAATAACAAGCATCAAGGTAAGCTTTACTATTATGTTCCTGACTGATTATCTAGGACTAGTGATGAAATTCTGGATGAGGGGGTGAGAACTGAGGACAAAGGACCAGTGAACCAATCTTGAGGCAAAAGACTCAAGAGAAAAGCTTATGGTTGAAGAGCCCAAAAAGGGGCTATGAGCTGCTAGTGTGCATGGCGGAAAAGCACTCACGCTCCAAGTGATTGTATCTTTTAGTGACCACAGGGAAAAGTTTGCAGAAGACTGATGATCTCATTTTCTAACTCAGAAAGCATGGTTATTTATCTACATACAAATTATGGCTGAGTTGTGGGACAGAAGGTGAAGAAGGATATTCATCTAGAAATGAGTGAGAAAAGAGTGACATTTGTGTGACAGAGGAAAAAGAAGAAGACACAATGATAGCTAAATCTCTAGCAGAAAACAGTGAGGGCAAAAACAATAGAATAACCAAAGGCCATTCATCTGGAATAGCCAAAGGTAATCCTAATTTAAAAAAGACCAACAATGACATGTGATTACAATGTAATGGACTCTTGAACTAGATGATCGCGCTTGACCTTGATTAGATACATAAAAGAATCAAAGCAACTGGTACCATTCTTCATTTTATATCTCTCTCTTGATCATCTATTAATATTTACTTGATTGTTTCCAAGAACCTGCTCTTTGGTACCTTTCTTTCTTAATGTTGATTTATTTTTTCACAGTCTATTGACCCATGAAAAACTCTTTGACTTTTCAGTTTCTTCAATCTGGAGGTTGAACAGCAAACAAGGTTTGATTATCTATGAAATATACATGCATAAATGTGAGCATACTGAGCTTTGCAAACCATAATAACACTGACTTATTAATGATAGTGTAGGACTTCCCTCCAAGATATACAGGCCCCTCTAATTGATTTAGAGCCTCAAAGTCTAGGTTTCCCTCCACCAACCTTGTATCTGTCAGGGCTCCAGATCATTTGACGGGAATTCCACCAATACCAACCAAAGTATTGAATAAGCCAGCTCACATCAGAAGAATGGACTGTTACTATTCAAATACATTTCCTCCAATGATTATCTCAGAGTAAACTACTCCCAGCACCAGGAAAAACAAGTTATCACCGGATCACAGGTGATATCAGCCTACATCTGATGAGCTACCCAATAATTACACAAGTATTCTTTATTGCATCTCCATGTAAGACACAAAGGGGCTTTTACAATCAATTGGCTAACATAGACAGATCAAGTTGAAATTTTCAGCTATTTTTTCTCAATGAAACCTAATATCTAGTGAGTAATGATCTTTCATGGTGCAGGAACAGGGATTAGCTTGACCACCAGCTAATCTTACACCACCAGTGAGATTTTGAAATTATCAGCCCCACATAAAAACCCAATCAGACTAGGCTCAAGGATCCATTTGTTCTTAATCCAAGGTTTTTTAAATTAGAGCCCATTGATATGATTTCTGAACTCAGATCCAAAAGAGATTTATCACCACTAATTTCAATTCAAACCAAAATTCAAACCAGTGCTGAGCTGGATTTTATTCAAAAGCAGGTCAATTGTGTTTTGGTATTGCAATGCAACCAACTTTTTTCCATTTCTGTTTCACTTCTACTTAGCCTGCCATGGGGAAAAAGGGATGGGAAAACAATATCAAATCTTGTCATATTAAGATTGAGAAATTGTGAATCATTAAGGGAGATAATCAGCGAGGGGAGGTAGGGATGGGAAGGCTCTTATGCAAGAATTCTGGACTGAAAATCAAGGGCAGAATTGAATTCCACTCCAGTGCTGAAGATCTTGTGAGGAGAAATAGAAATCCCCAGCACAGGAAACAATCATGAATTCTTATAATAATGTAAAAGATCTGATAAAATAAGAAATAGCTATGATTAGAAAGATTCTCACAATTTTGGGATATTATCAATATGAATAAGCAGCAGGAGACAGGTTAAAAAAAGAATAGATAATTGCTTTTGAAAGATACTCTCCTTTTCCTGGAAATAACATCCATTTTATTCTTTTGTATCAATGCTAATATTGCAATTTTAGTAATCATGGTCATAGATTTGGAACTGGGTTTAGCATCATCAAAAGCAGAACATATTCCAAAATTTCAAAATAAATCTCCAGCTGATCACTTGAAGCATATTGACGGTAGAAATTGATTTGGGCTCATCAAGCTGAGCCCATGTGTGGCTATCTAAATATATTATATCTCTGTCTATTTACATATTATTATGGCCTATCTTATCCTAATTTGTCTTTTTTTCTCACATTCTATTTTTAATCCAATTCACTCCAACAGCAACTCTTAGACCATTTGCTTGTGCCTCTACCCCCCAATCCTCGGTAATTTCCAATGCGGCTGAGACTTGCTCAATTTCCAATTTTAGTGGTTTAATTATTGCTGACAGTGATGGATCCAATTCCAACGCAGGCGTTTCCATGTGATTGCCTTTGTTTTCGTCGGTAGAAATTAGCCAGGGCAGCCGCGAACGGTCCATGTTAACCAGATATCTTGATTCGCTCAGTGAGATGCGATATATTTCGCGTAATCGGAAGTCTGACAATCTTTGGAGGGCCTGACCTAGCTTGACATATGCCTGCTGGAGGACATTGGAATATTCCATAAAATATGCCTCAAACGCCTGTAGTTTGGGAAAATCTGCTAGCCCACGGAGTTTTCTCATGTATTCTTGGGATAAGGCTGATGGTTGAACATGGTGTTGGACCATGAAGCGTATTAAATTGTACGAAAGCTTGGTTCGTGTTATAAATTCATTTGGCGATTCTTTATCGACCTCGGCGAAGAGCCGGCCAATGACAGTTTTCAAAACTTCATGTATGTGTGCCTGGATAGCCTGTTCGGTTAATCCCTCAACGGCCTGAGGTGATGTGAGCGCCATGAATTCATTTTTTAACTGAACAAGTTGATGAAAGGATGACATTTCCTTTTTGAGCAACGGGTCCAAACTCATTCCTGTTAGTTGAGCGTCCAAATATGAGCGCTCTATACTTTGCCAAGTGTCCGAATCCAAGTCTGGGAGAAAGCAGCAACAAATATTCAATCAGCTTACATTCCATCTCAGCATTCAAAGAAGATGTTCCCGGCTAACTAGCTGTGACGAGTAGTAAGGTTGAGCCGTCATCACTTACGTTTCAATAAACCGTGTATTTTGTGAGTTGAAGGACTTGATTGCATACTAAGCCTGAAGTCAATCGACATACTCAAAACCTTGTTGTGAGGGTAAACCGCGTGGACACCGAAGAGCCAATTGAATATCAATCTCCCTTTGTTTCGGTCATTCAAGATTTTCCTGATGATTTTGTCATTAATCAAGTTGTGTTTGTCTAAAGCAGTAAGAAGACCAAGGAAAAAGTCGTTCAGGCGGTACATCAACTTGAGGGCGTTCACGTTGACTTGGGCGGATTCGAATCGTTTTGGATCCTCCAGTATGGTGCAAGAACTTTCAATGTTCCCCAATATTTCCAAGACCAAGTTGGCGTGATAGTTTTGTAAAACATCGATGCGAGGGGTCCCCGCCAAGTGCCCTGGCTTTTCAGGGTTAGGGGTAACGATAGCATGATAAGAATTGGAGATATCGATCCCGTGCTTCTGCAAGATAGCTGTGTCCACTTTGTTGAGTTCAAGTGTGTGGTGGTTGATATTCACGAAGGATCCGGTAAAACCCCAGTTCAACTGAGCTTGCAGCTCTTGTCGCATCTCTAAATCTCCGCGGTCACCAAGAGTTCTATGTACGTCAGAGCTTGCATTCCAATGCTCATAAATATGCCTCAATGGGTAGTAGGAATCGGAACTTACGTGCAAGAACTGCTTAGTTTTTAAAAAATGCATGCCATTTAAGCTCTGGAAAGACTTAATCTCATCGCAGGGACACTTACTCACGTCTTGGTGCTGCTGTTTCGCCGGGGTTGCCAAAACAACACAAGCAGGAGGAAGGCTTGACAAGCTTATGAAAAATATTCTTCTTCCATGCTGAACCTAGGTGAGCAGTGCGCACATTCCATACATTCAGTAGACACAAGGCCCCAAAAACATCCACAATCAGAGAATATCAGCCACCTTCGAATACTAATCCTGACATTTAGTAATCTCTTTACGCTAACCGCTTGCTTTGACACCATGATTAAGCTCAAGTTCCAGCATTTCCTCTTCATGGGCTGTATGCGCTTGGACCGGGGTCGCTTCGTTGGGGTCTCTGTTTCCGGTAATGACTAATGCTTGATTTCGGTCAATTACAATCGCGATCAATGGGGTTCAGAGATTACTCAAGGCTCACGCTGGGTCATGTCGCCCAAAGTAGGGCGTTGATCAGGAGGTCCTCGATCCGTCATATCAAGGAAGGAATCTATGCAGGAGACGGTTTTTGGTCTCAGCGGCGTGTATAGAAGAGCATGCTAACTATTTGATGCGTACCAAAACGTGCTTTTTTGTATAAATCATACTCTTGTTCCCCGAGAGAGGACAGGTTCTCATCTGGAAAAAAGACAGCCTTCACACCTAAGCCCAGTAAGCAGACTGATAAAAGCGAGATTCTTGATGGCGGAGAGGTCCAACGTAGTAAAGCACTCATGCTGGGCTGTGAAAGTTCGACCCGCAGATCAATCTGAGTATGCCTGAAAAATTTGAACATTTATGACGATGAGCTGGATTTCAACCAAAGCAATTGTACAAGGGTGGACCTGCCATTGGGTGCTCTTGAAGGGGCGGCTGGAGGTCTCCCCACTTGTTTCCATATGGAGAGGCCAGTTTGCTTCTGAGACACGTTCAGTGTGGCAGAAGGTCTAAAGCCGAGATTGTAGAATCAAAGTGAAGGTGTGGATTGAAACACCGGCCATCCTGAGACGCTACGCCAACTCGCACTATGTGCTTCGTGATCCGCGCTTCGGAAACCAGCAGGAATATGTACCATAGTTCCCATTCTCATAATTTGTATTGGTCCACTTGCTCAACTGATTACGCTGTATGGTGTTCCGACTTTTCTCTCCTGGAGCTTTTCTCCAGCGGCTTTGCGTTTTCCCAACAACTGATTTTCATGCTTGCTTCCCAAAATCAGACCGTGGTTCTTTACCACTGGATTATATGGAGGCATTAGCGCGCCATTTTGGCCAAAAAATCAATAAAAATGGTACCCAAGTGCCAAAATGGCCACATAAGTGCCACTTTTCTACAATACAGCGCTTCTCAACTGCCAGCTCAAATGGTGAAGAACAGTTTTCAAATGCCAAGATTGGCAACCAAGCAACCAAGCTGCCATTTCACGCCTCTGAGATGCCAAGCATGGCACTGAGGGACCATTGGCGCCATCCATCCATCATCCCAGCTTCTGGCAACCTTCGGCTCTCCTCATCATTCATACACTCATCATTCATACAGGATACCAGACTCAACCCCATAGGCATCCTGACCAGTGAAGCGTACAGCACCTGGTCAATTTGTGGGTGATAACATTATATGCATACCTGTTCGAGTCTAAGACATTGCCTTCCCCTCACAACCACTCATCATAAGCTTAATAGATCTCCGACATCACTAAAGCATCAGCAGCCTGCATTACACTAAGAAGCAACTCTCCAACAGCACCCTCCAGTAGCCTCCAAGTCGCCAGATTTCTTCATTGCAAGCCATGACATGTATCCAGTGTGGCAACACCCCTACCGTGCTGGGGGAGTACTGCCTAGAATGTGTCCGATCTGTTAAAGTCAAGCAACAACCTGCTTTCCAGCCCACCATTTCGCCAACCCCTACCAGCGATGCAGTCACCGAAGCTATGAGAATCAAGAGGGAAGAGGCCATCAACCTGGCCCGAGGTTTATATGGTATACCAACCCCATCTGCTGGATCCCTTTCTATCCCCAGCTCTATGAAGCCACCACCACCACCACCGGTTCACAGTAATCTGGGTTTGTCTTCCTATTTACTAATACCCACATATATGCAAAGCCTTGAATTATTCCATTTCTCTTCCAGTGCTGCCACAGAACCCCGATTTTCCCTATGCCTCTGCCAGAGCACAAAGGAATTCAGCCTGCAAGCCATATTCAACCACCCGTCCAAGGCTAGTGATCAAGCAATCTGCCTCTGGCAAAGGAGCCATCCCACTCGAGAATCCTCCCTACCGGGTCTCTGTCCAATGTGGATTCGAGGTGAGACACAAGAACAAATGGGTCTCCAACCAGGCGCCAATGCGTGTGGCTACCTGGATTTTCCCTGGCGACCCCAACGCACATCAAGCCTTACTTCTCGAGCTCACAAAAAGACACGAGGGGAAAATGCAGCTCCAGATCAAAAACTACGATGGTCGGCTATTTTTTTCTGAGAAGCACTTCCCATTCTGCCGCCTTGGTACACAAAAAGGATCAGTCATCGACCAGGAGGGATTCATTCAATTCCTCAAGGAAAACAAGGCAATAGATCTACTCGTGGACTACGATGAGTTTGAAGACCACGAAGAAGATGAAGAAGAGGCATGTGGCATGGAGACCCAGTCTAGGCAATATGCCCTACGATCAGCCACCTCTGCTTCCTTCAACAGCCGGGCAAACACACCTTCAGTTGGGTCCACCTTGGCAATATCAAACGATCGAGAAGACTCAACTTTCTCACTTCCAACCATTACCAACAAACCTCCGGTCATAACCCGAGAGAACTCGCCTGATATTGTGGTTGCTACGTCTGCACATCAAATTGGTCTTGGCTCAATAAAAACGCCAGTGGATCAAGCGGTGGCACCTGTGGTTATCTACAAAAAGTCACCCCCATGTAAGTAATGATTTACACATATAGCTAGTTTATTTCTCATAATAATGTGGGTCTTTTTCGTTCTACAGGGTTGGCACCAGCAATTCTTGACCTGAAGGATCTTTCTTGGGACCGGTTTGGAACTCCGGAGCACTCGAGCACCTTTCGTGGCCATGATGATACTGGCTGGGCCAATGGACTTCGTAGTCAACTTGATCCCGATGGTCTATACATCACCTTGAGGATCTGCTCATACCGTGTGCACTACAACCATCAGAATAAAGGATACCAGCAAAATAATCCATGCTGAGATACTGGACTCCGGGGTGATCTATCCCATGGTAGCTGAATACACGTTGGTTCGGAAAAATCTCCGCCAAGCAAATGAATCGTATGAGACGGAGCCCAACTACGCCATGAGGACTTATGCGGTTTCTTGGCAGTTCATGGCCCTTTTCTGCAAAGTGATTGGGTCATCCAAGGCCTCCTCAGATGAAAGACAATTGGCCTCGACCCTACGAGTGAGTTATCTGATCCAGTGGCTCATTATTTTCCAAAAATTCAATTTACTCATCCTTTTCTGGTTGCCGAGGTCAATAGATAATTGACGGGTTCCCAGTTCACGACGATGTCGAATGTGGAAAAACCAACGAATGTTTTGATTACTTCCAGGAGAATGACATGATTGATGGACCTGGTTCAGGGGATGGTAATGGTAATAATACGTCCAACATCAAGGAACCTTTGGATAATGAAAAACCTCGCCGGGTATTCTTCTTCCAGGAAAAAATCAAGGGATATCGCACTCTCTTGCCGCCTATGGCCAATGACTATGGGATCTCGAATGCCTCCAGCCCGATTGACAAGATCTTGCATGCCTTTCAACACTGGGTATATGTATCGACCAAGGGCCAGATGATCATAACCAATCTCAAAGGAAATCCTCCATTGATCACCAAGCCAAAGGTCATCGATGTCAATCCCAGGTGAGCAGACCAGGAAGAAAAACTGAGGTCACAAGAGCTTTCTAATTTTTCCAACTGCTTTCATTGTAGGTCTTATTGGTATCAATGCCAAGATACAAAAGCAATGATGGCCCATTTCCTCAAGAAGCACACATGCACAAACTTATGCCAAGTGTTGGGCCTTCCACCATTGGTAGAAATTGTGTGGACCCCAACAGCCAAGTCCTTAAGGCCGCATCAAGAATACGACCTCAATAACATCAATCACAATTCAGCCCGGCCCCAAATGACTAGTGATCAGTTGGAGCTCCTTGCAGTAGTCAGACAGGGTCAGAAAGCCCTTGTGTCCAAATTATTCTAGTTTTCCATATTTTGTCATTTGCATCACACATCTCTTTCACATGCCACTTCATTTGTTTTCTCATTTGGCCTTGATTTCCAAGTTCAATTAGTTTATGCAAGAAATAAATTTCGTGAAATATTATGTCTTGTTTGCAAAGGTCCTGATAAATTTATTGCAAATTGGATAAGGTATCACAATCATTCTCATTGAATGCACAAGTCTGGGGCTTCAAATAAATGTGGAGCACCACTGGAGATAGAAGAAAATGACAAGAGACTGAGGAAACTGGCAAGATATTTATTTCGGTTAACAAATGCACAAACTACAATCTACTTTAGGTTTTTTTTTTGTTTTTCTGCAGTGGCTAATATATAGTTTAAATCACCATCATGCATATTTAAATATGCTCCTTCTTGAGTTTTAATATTCTTGAAAACATTGACTGTCTTTTTGTTTAGCTGTAACGAAAAAGCCAAGCGATTGAAGGTTGAATTGGGTTGTGAAAACATGGTGAAATGCTTGTAATCAGTAGACCGCCAGACCATTCTCGCTACCCCATCCAAGTTCTCAAAGCCTAATCCGAACCGACAGTCTGGAAACACAAACTCGCCACCAACAACATTGAACCCCTCAGCATGAGTAGCAACCTTACCAGTCTTCGCAAAAGTTGGGATCCATTGGACATAGGCGAATTCTGAAACATCTTGATCGTCTGTGTGAGGTGAATTGTAAAATCCACCGTATGTATAGGATAGAGAACTCGCTGCTGAAAAATTGTTTACTTCGAGATCGTCTAGGGTTGCATCACCAAAAGAGGGCATGTCGTATTCTACCATGATGTCATGGTTCTTTGCAAAAGCATTGTCGGCTAGATCCTTGAACGATTTGCCGATGATGACGCCAGCTTGATGTCCCTGTCGAACCACAGAGGTGAAGCCATGAACATCCTTGTTGATTTTCGCCTGAGATAAAAACAGGCCAGCTCGTTCATTGGGTTTCATGCATTTCCTCCAACCGAGCATATTCATTTTGCCACCAAGACATGCCGAGTTGAAGTTGGAAACTGGATTCACGTATTTCTTGTGGGAATGGAAGAAGCCAGCTAGGAAATCGAGATCTTCTCTTTGGTTGGGTGTCATCTTGGAGAAAGGTGTAAACTGAAATATTCCGACTAGTCGATTCTGATTATATTCATCAAATATCATCACATGACTATCGGGACGGTTGAAGAGACGGAAACCAGGGGCTTTAATGAAGTTGGCTGCCTGCAGGATCGAGGCTGGAGTGAGATATTTCTTCTTTTTGCGTTGTCTGTACTCATCGTAGAGGGATACCGGAGAAGGTCTTGCAGTGAAATGATATAGCCCCTTCTTGATCTCAGTGGAGGCTTCGTTCCCACTGGCTTTTCGAGTTTTTTGACGCCATCGCTTCTTACAACCTTCTTTTCTCTTCTTATTCTTAAGCATCACTCGAACCTGTTTGGCTGTGGGGGGCCTGCATTGATAGATAGAAAAAAAATTATGAGTATCATGTGTAGTGTACAGATGAATTAGCAAAGAGAGAGGTGCTTTCCCGGGGGCTTGCCAGATCTATTGGCCATTCATTCACCACATCAAAGCAAGCCCCTATGCACCCATTTTATAAGTTAATACTGAAGGGATATTGACAGATCTATTGGCCATTCATTCACCATATCTAGCCAATACCCCCTCCTGCAATTTTCGAACCATTAAGTAAATGTTTGATTACAAAAAATTTGCGGCTTACCCAGTTTTGTATTCCTTATTATGTATCAATACCCCCCGTGCCTGCCGAGGTATCATTCTAGATTTGATATTCATTGGATCTCTTGCAACTTGACCGACAAGCCTATAAAGGAAGACAGGTGATAGTCAATGAGCTGCCTTCTGGGGATCAAACTGGATCATTAGATTAGGGGATTGGGGAACAGACCCGACAGGGGAGCAGATCCTTTAGACAGTTTATCAATCAATCAGTTTTTTTATCAATCAATATGTGGATTTATCTATCAATTAGAGGGTTAAATGATTGATCAGTGCATTTATCAATCAATCGGTGCCCTTATCAGATGAATAGAGAGTTTAACAACCAACCAGAGTATCTATCAATGGATAGGAGCACTTATTGGTTGATTATACTGTTTAGCAATCAATTATAGCCTTGATCAATCGGAGTTCAGATCGATCAATTACAACGGTTACAAATTGAACAGAGGGCTTACGGGTTGATCGGAGCGTTTGTTGATTGATCGGAGTGTTTCTTGAACGATTGGAGTATTTCTTGATATATTAGACTGGTTATCAATCGGTAGGTGCGTTTCTTGATTGATTAGACAGTTACCAAGCGATTGGAGCAGTTATTGATTGACCAGGGCAGTTATCAATCAAACAAAGCATTCAGCGAATGATCGAAGCAATTATCGATCGATTGAAGTGATGATCGATCAATCAAAGCGGTTATCGATTGATTAAAGCGTTTATTGATCGATTATAGCATTTATCGATCGATTCAAGTGATTATCGATCGATTAAAGCGTTTATCGATTGGTTATAGCGTTTATCAATCGATTATAGCGTTTATCAATCGATTCAAGTGATTATCGATCGATTAAAGCGTTTATCGATCAATTCAAGTGATTATCGATTGATTAAGGCGGTTACCAATTGTTTAAAGCAGTTATTGATCAATTAAAGCGATTATTGATTGATTCAAGTGTTTATTGATCAATTCAGGCAGTTATCAATTGATTGAAGCAGTTACTGATCGAGTACAGTGGGTGATGATTGATCGATGAGAGTGTTTAAGGATTGATGAGAGTGTTTCTTATTTGATTAGACCTTGTATCCATTGATTGGGGTGTTATATTATTGATTGATTAGAGAATCAAAGGAGCAATTAGACCAGGGATCAGTGATTATCACTTGATTAGCTTGGTTGATGAGTTATTATCAGATCGTTTAGGAAAAAACAAGAGAGGTCAACGATTTAAGAACTTACAAGAGACCTTAACCCTTTAGAAACAAACAAGTCAAGGCTGTGTAATGTTGATCAATGGATTCGACAGTCTAGCAATCTTTGAGTAAGCAATTTGGAAGATTCTGAACGGTTTGTAGCTGTGTATTCTTGATCATTTGATATGACAGCACAGGGCAGTTGGGGGAACTGAAGGGTCAGTAATGTTAGAAGCTCCAATCAGATGGACAAGTAAGGTGAAAGCAAGGACCTCAGAGTGTTCGGAAAATAACTTACCTGTGTGATCTTGAGTGCTTGGTCACCTGAATAAAGAGGAGAAGAGTATGGAGGTGGCTGAGCTACATCTCAACCGAAGCATCTCATATCAGAGGTTTCACATGAGATGTCACAGAAACATGAAGGTATTCCACTTAGATCATAATGATTGCCACAAAGAGATGACCGATGGCATTCAATAATAAAAAGAACCCAAGGTATGTTGTATTTATTATAATGAAAAACCATCATCCACCACCCACAAATATCCAGAAGTTTGAAGAGATCAATTCACACAA